AAATCCATTTCTCACAAGCACCTACCACACTTTAGAGGGCTATGTTTTCCATTGATGGGGAAGCAACTTGTGTTTAGGGACACCTTATTAATCTTTGTATCTCTAGTCACTAGTACAGTGCTTGGAACACAGCAGATTATCCAAAGTGTTCACTAAATGAATGGTGGAAGTTGAAGTCATCCTCCATTCAGATCCATAGATGCCAAAGCAACGATCAGCACACACCAACAGCGTGTGGTTTCTTTGCTGATAGCATGAACTCTGCCATTTTCTTCCTATCCCATGACTTACTCTCAGACCTGTTCTATAAACTCTCCTCATTCCGTTTGGGATCTGGATCAAAGCTCTCCCTTCTGTGAGGTAAAGCTTATTTGAATGTCTCTTGTCTCTCTCGGTCTGTCTCTATACATAGTGCTTTTAAAAATATGTGTTTTCACTGAAAGACAGTTGACCCTGTCTTCAATCTGGCCAAGATGATGCTATCATGTAAGGGATGAATGGCAGTTGCCTTTTATTTAGGCTTTTACTGTTAACCTCATCTGTAGAAGGTTGCAGGCAAGGAAGGAATACTTAAATAAGTAAAAATGAAGTTAAAGCCACAAAGATCAGAAACAGCAATTATGATTAAGTAGCTATCAAGTTCCACATCTTATACCATGTCTTAAAAGAATCTGACAGTTGCCTATAAGGGTTTGATCACTGAGTTACATGACTTAGGATTCCCCTGTAGTCATTGGTAATATGGGAAATTTGAGGGAGGAAATGTGACTTTTTTCTCCTCTGGGTAGGAGGATAACCAAAGTATCTGTTTCTTTCCTTAATAACCCATGTCATGAAAATTGTCTCAAATGTCTGCCTAAAATCTTGCTCATTATTGTTGAAAATATCCTGCATAAGAAATATATTTGGAATAGTCTGTGAATCCTCCCAAGTTAACTGTTGGTAAAAGATTTTAAGTGGTAATGGAAAAATTTATATGGGGCTATCAGTTCATTAAACATTGCCACAAATTAATTGAGGAATCACAGGCTTCTCTGTTTTTCACTTCCTACAGGGGATAAATCTACTATAATTGAAAGAGACACCTGTGTCACATGCAAGGTTTTAGTCACAGTGCAGAAGTGACATGCTTATGAAAATTCTATCTTTCTGGACCAAATATTGGGACAAATGGTCCAAAATGGGGCAAACTACTTAGAACTAAGGCTGTCTTAAAATTATGAAAGGCATGATTGCTTGAGTGATGCAAATTCATTCTCCTCTTCTTCAGCTGCATAGGGATAAAAGGAGGAAAGAGGAATTCTAAGGAAAGGAAATACAATCTATGGGGAATTACTTCAGACACTAGGTTTGAAAGAATGGAGCATCAGAAATGACCAAGGTTAAAAGTCAACTTTAAGAAAATGGACAAGACTGCAACATTAGAGCAGAAAGAGTTTGGAAAATGTTTACAGTGAAAAAGATATAACTCATCATTTAGATTTAGGTTGCTTTTAAAGTACTATCTTTAAAATAATGGTTATTAATGTTTAAAATAACATTTTCTTACTTTATGTATGAAAAAGAAAACCAAAAATTGGGAATAAAATTGTGTGGGCAGCAGGGTCTGCTCTAATTCCATGAGGGCAACACACTGTGGACACTAATAGATACTTGCTTACTAGCTGACTCCAAGTTGGAATCACAAGACTGAGGTACCACTGATGCAAGTTTGCAGCATCATGACACTGAAAGCTCATTTTAAACGGTTTAACAGGCCACCATAAAGTTGTAAAGTGACAATAAATGTCACAATCCATCAGGAATGTGTATGAACCACAGATTTAATCAAACCTTTACTTTCAGCTGTTACTACTTGCATGTATACTGAGGCCATTTCATAAATGGCCTACTGGTCTCTTCCCTTTGTGCTAAGGCAGGTGCTGCAAACTCAAATATCTTCAAGGGCCAAGCAAGTAATGAAAATGAGGCAAGTGGGTTGAGTGGGGAGCATAGCAAAGAGGAAGCACATATTCTGTGTCTACAGGGAGCATCTATCACTCAGCTCCTGCCAGTTAACACCCTGCAGAAGTACAGATCTAATATGATCAGATTTTTTAATTTTTAGAAGCTAGAAATCAGTATTTTTATTCAAACCTTCCATTTTTAAATGACAGCAATTAATTTAAAAAATGAAGTGCCATAGAGGAAACAAAACTTATCCATAGCCTGTGGGCTCTAACCACGGAAACTCCCTCCTAAGAAGGCCTCCTCCAGTTTCAAATGGTGTCCATTATTTGTAGTTGTTTAAGATTTGAAAAGGTTCGTGTTCTATGTAGCTGCACTGTCTACACTTTTGTAAACTTAGATGAAATTTGCTCCCAACTTTGATGTTTTCCACAGGCAGTCGTAATTATTTTTAGTTAATTGAACTTTTTCCAGTAAGTTTTGGGCTTTATGAGTGTATATATATTTGTGCAGAGGCAGAGAATTATACATGTTTCTTTACTTGTATATTTGGTTTGTGATCAATGTGTCAACTTTCTGTCCTTTTATCAGTGGAAGATCTGAGGCAAATCCTTTATTTATGGTAGAGGAAAGTACTACACAGGATCCAAACAAGCAACGGCTGCTATTTATTCCTAAGTTATGTCTCTTACTTTTCACATTTCACAAATGACTTTTTATAGTCTGGCTCTCACACTAGACAGATGTTAACTGTACTTATTCATTTCTGTACTTTCCACACCTGGAAAAATATGTGGAATGTAGAAGTGGTTTAACAAATATTTATTGTACTGAAATGAACTGACCCACAGTATTAAAATTCACTAAGTGGACTCTCAAGCTCTCTTGTGTTGACTTCAGCTTTACTTTCCACTTATCCTCAAGGAAAACCTGGGTGATAACCAAACTGCTTTGGGAAACCAAGAATGTCCCAGGGTACCTTGAAATATATGAAAACTTCTTTTCCTCCTCCTGTATCTATGGAAATCCACTGATAACCAAAAATCCTCCTTACTCCTCCTTACACTGGGGATCCCATTTAACTACAGGGAATTTGGTTCTATATCCAGCAAATCATAAACCACTAGTCTTGCTACTAAGAAACATCAGGACAGTCTGATTGATTTCTACAGTTAATTCTTAAAAAATCAACCCTCAGAAAGCACTGCCTGCCTCTATCAGTTTATAAGGACACTGCTTTTCCACACTATGCCTAAAGGGGCATATGTTAAGGGCCAAAAACTCAAAAGTCTGTACAGGCCAAAGAGGTAACGTAAATGGACTAGTGCAATGTAAGAAAATTGGGAGCTGAATGACTATGACAAAATGGAACTCAAATACTCCAGCTCTTCCCTTCATGAAGCCAGGCAGGGCCAGAGTTGCCAGACTTCCCCGTTTTTTAAGAGGCCAAACTGAGGAAGCCAAACAAAACAGGTCGGTGGGCTGCCAGTTTTTGGCCTTGTGTATAACACATTATTTTCCTAGAGTTTAGAGACTGTTTCCAAATAGAGCAGCAGGAGGATATGCATAAAAAAAAAAAAAAAGAAAGTCACTAGACATAAAAACTGTCGGTCTAATAGGATCTGGTAAGTTGCATTAGTTGGGTGCTTTGTGATGCCTCCCAAAACCCTAAGATCTAAAACACTTCAAGGAAAGCGAAAGCATTCCACTGGAAAGGCTCATTTGTGGATCTTAACACAGAGACTGAAGTTTTAATCACACTGGTTGCATCTTAAATAAATTTGTTTGAATAAGGGGTGGTTTCATTCGTTCTTCTAGAAAGAATAGAAGCCAAAAAGCCACAGTGGTTTTTGACCAAAGTATACTGGACTAAAAACACATCACCCCTTATGAACAGAAATATATACACATTCACATAGCTTGAAAAAATCATCCCAGTGGATGAATTAAAGGGGGCACTAAAGTAAATTTTGATAATTCATTTTATCAAGGGGAATGACTGATTTTTTTTTTCTGTCTCACATTCCTTCCTTTTGGGAATTGTCTCCAGAAATACAAATTTCTATTGGAGTTGTTCCATCAAAGAACTCTGTGAGTGGGCCCAGTACTGAGGATGACCAAAGAGAGAATCCCATTCCTGAATGTAATGGTTGTTCCAGAGGTGTGCATGACTTAAGAAGGACCCTATTTCAGAGACAGGGATGCACGGTCGGGTGAGAGGGCGAGCTGAAGGACCAAGTAGTCCTGGTTCTCCCAAAATGCAGATTAAAAAGTCCTACCAATACACATGCAGGCATCCCTTCAAAGTGATGAAAAGAGCGAGATTCCTGATAATACTGGCTGAACACAGATCCAGTCTGCCTGAGCCTAGCAAACACCGACCAATAAGTAAACTTCTTAGCATGAGTAAGTTTGACGTGGATTTCTGTAAATTATAACCTTGACTGATACAGAAAATCTGTGGTTCATATTTTTATTTGAGAATGTAAATGCAATTAAATTAATTTCAGAAACAGGCAGCTGAACTGTATGACTGATTTCTGGCTCAATATATATTTAAAATTCACATTTTTTGTTCTATCCATTTGAATCCACTTGAGCCAGGAAATAGTTTCCTATTTTCATTCAAGTTCTACTTTGAAATAGGACTTCTGTGCTAATTATGTCAGTAATGCCACATTAAGTACCAAAAAAGCATTAAAAAAAGTATTATCTTCAGAAGTTAGAATTAAAGTATCAATCAAAAGTTTCATTCTACACACTAACATATATTCCTTAACACATGTTAAACTATGGGAACAATTTTCAATCGGAATCTCAAACTTAAGGAGTAAGGTGTGTTTACATGTGTGTGTAGTGCCTCCCTCGTAAAGCATTAATCCAGACAGAATACAGAATCTTTCCACTTATCCTCTACAAAGAGTATTTTAGGAGTCCAAAAGTGCATGATAAAAAGACTGCATTTAGAATGTTAAATATGCCTTGGTCATGTGAAAATGTCTTCCAGGTTATGTTAGAATTCAGATTGCTTGTGGGGCAGAAAGCACGCTCACCTCCTCATTCTCGATCTTGAGCGTGGCCAGTCGTGACTGCAGTTGCTGGTACCTGAGCATGAGCTCTGGCTGGACCGGCTGCTGAGCGCTGACCTGACACACCTGAGGAGGAATCAGAACTTGCAACTAGAACAGAGTGCCATCAAGCAAACCCCCAGAGGCATGGTTCTCCTCTTTAAATGTTGCATGAATCACACTGGCTCCCTCAAGATTCCAATTACATATTAACTTTTAACAGCCGTCTCAAACCTTCAGTGTTAAATACAGATCTATTGTGTAAGTGGCAAGAGCAGAATGCAGCTGCTTGGCCTGGGTGTGACTGGCAAGAGAGCAACTGCAGGAAGCATTGCTTGAAGAACAGGGCAGTAGCTGCAGACAGCTCTGATGCTGACACCCTCATGGCATCCTTAAGGACTGTCAGGCACACAGTGACAAGTGGGCCACACAGGCAAAAGTAGGGCAGGCAGCAAAGCCTACTGGTTATAGTCAGCCAGGTGGCTGTGGCAAGTTCTTGAACCTCAGCTTCCTTATCTGTAAAATGGGGATAATAAGAGTTCCTATGCCATAGGGTAGTTGAAGGAATGGAGTTAGATAATGTACATAAATACTTACAGCACTGCCTGGCACACAGTAAAAACTCAGAAAATGTGACTATTGTTAGCATCTTCCAACCATGGTGGCTTCCCTGGCCAATGTCAGCCAAATAATGTGATCCACCACGAATTTGAAGAGGTCACTTAGATGGAAAAATATTTTGGCCATGGTCTCAATTATGGGCAAGGTTAAAATTAGAACCTTTTAATTATATTAAAATTGCACCAGACACAATTTCTTCTCATCTTGTCATAGAAATACTCTCACAGTTTTCAAAACATCACAGAGATTATTGCTCCCTGGAAGAACTGGCCATAAAGAAGGGGCAGCAGACTCACTTTATGAAAATACTAATAGTTAAACAAAAGCAAAATCCCACTGGTGTCACTTGTCTGTGACATTTTATCATTCTATGTTTAACATATCCAAAACAGAAAAATTAAAAACCGTTTGGTTTTGGAAATAACTCTGGGTGGAATAAGCCACTCAGCTGTCAAATTCATGTGCAATTGGCTTAAAACTTGCTCACCATTTCTGATCAAGTAATTCACTTTATCCAATCAAGCAAAAATAAAATTAGGTTAGAAATACAGCAGACATACACACCCCAATAAGTCACAATACTAGGTATTTCAGAAAAAATCACGACATTAAAGACTTCTGCCATGGACATTATAATTACATCTATTTTAAAAATATACTGTCACCAAAATAAGCTAGAATTGGGTTTTTAATTGATGACAATTGTTTTGCACAGCTGGAAGACAAGTGCTATATATAGTGCACTCCATTAATTGGTTCTTGTTTGCCCATATCTGCAGACAATAAAATACACCACAACTCATAAATGGTTTAAATGTCTTTTGCCCCTTTGGTAAAATAAGAAAGAAAGCTAAGTTCACAGAAAGAACCTAAGATGTATCATTTCTAATACTCATTTTACCAGTTTGGAGACAAGTTGAGTCTTAAAACAATGTTCTGCCTTTTTTTCCCCCTCTCCCATTTTCCAGCCATTTACAATTATTTTTCTTTATGGCAATCTCTTTCAATTAGGATTACAAGAAGTCTTCAGATAGATTCTATTGAGCCAGCAAAATGTTTTGTTTTGAATTTAAACTTGAATATCTTGAGATGGAAGAAAAACCTCTAACTGTCCTGACAGTCTTTAGTGCCAGTTTAGTACTTAGACACAACTGCATTTGCACCTGTATCTGTATGGCCTCTGCAGGCACTGGAGGGCTGGACCCCTACTTTAAGAGGGGGTAATGGCTGATCTTAGCATAACACTATGCTAAAATCCCATGTGAAGTCCAGAGAGAGAAAACAATTGGAAATTCTTACAATTTTGGGGTTACAGCAGGTGAAGAGTAATGTAAGTAAAGAGACAATTCATTAGACTTAAAATATTCAATTACTGACCTCATCACCCATGTGAGACTGAAACTCAAACTTCATTGGTGGACAGAATGCTGTAGGGTACATCTCCATGAATCTCTGCTTATCATTCCTGGGCTCCAGATTGTCAACTGCATTCTCTATAATGTCTAAGCCTTCGTGTCTGGAGGTTTCAAGGTTATACTCCGCAGAGAGATATGTTCTTAGGGCTCTATTCAGACTTGCATGGTAGCCAAGATCACAGCACTTAAAAAAAAAAAAGAACAGCATTACAACAATTAACTCAAAATGGATCAAAGACCTAAATGTGACAGGTGTAACTAAGGAATTCTTAGAAGAAAACAGAGGAGTAAACCTTCATGACCATCATTAAGCATTGGTCTCCCGGATACGGCCATCAAATGCACAAGCAACAAAAGAAAATATAAATTGGATTTCATGACATTTGAAGACTTTTGTGCTTCGAAGGGCACTATCAAGACAAAGGAACACCCACAGAATGGGAAAAACCTTTTCAAATCATGTGTCTGACAAGGAATTTATATCTGGAATATATAAAGAATTTTTACAACTCAAGACACATCACAATTACAAATACAAGCAAAATACAATTGTGAACTGCAGTAATTGGGTTCATCATTAATATGTTTTCAGTGGAATCAGCTGTACTCCAATACAGAGTAAATTTCAGCTAATTAAAAAAATTACAGTTTCAGATGAGCAAACTCTTTTATTCCTCTTGGTCCTTAAAATCCATAAAGATTCTGTGCAGCAGTTTTATACATGTCAGAGGGACTGGAAAACTGTTCTTTCAATAACACTTCATTTTATGAAAACACAAATCTCTAAAGGAAATGGTCTCATATCTTTGAGATGTACCAGGGCTTCAAAACACCCCACTATTCTGAAACAAGACAGAGTCAGCACAATTATAATGGAGCAATGAGACGAGCTGCTTTATCCCAATGGGATACTGATCCCCAGGGAACTTACCAGAAAACTGATATTGAGAGGAAAGAAACAGCCCAGAGGAAAGCTTCACCTTTTCCCCCTATAAAAACTGTCTCTTTTCAACTTAAAAGAGAAAGGAAGGAAGGAAGAATGAAGGAAAAAGAAGAAGAAAAAGAAATCCAACCCCAACTACATGGCTGAGTTAGAGCTCTGGAAACACACGACAGGTTGTCATTATTCCCAGACTCGAAGAGTCCACTCCTCAAATTTCTGATCATGGCTTCTTTGGGGAGTAAACGTCAAGGGTATGCAAGTAGCAATGCATGTTTTTCCACACCCAGTTCAGCCAGGCAGACTTGGTAGGTCTGAATGCCCCTGACTTTAGGTAAGAGCCCCCTGATTTCACTGTGGTTTCTTGATAGGTTGGAGAGAAGCATGCCCGGGCCTTAACCAATCCAGGGGCCTCTGGAGGTGTATTCTGGACATTGGGTGCATTTATTTGACGTATATTTAGGAGGTTTCTGTGACGAGCTTTGATGGACAATTTCCTTTTGGACCCCTACAGTGGTCTCCTGAGACAGCAAGGCCAGTCACAGAATCACCTTTTTTCTAAACTAGGAGCTAAAATGACACTGGATATGTTAAGATTCAAGATACTTAGTTTAAAAAGTCTATAATAATTCTATAGAGCTTATTGATTATTAATGATGATATGGAAAGCCAGCTTCTGCATAAAGTTGAGTTATAACCCAAGTGCATTTCATGATGAAAATACATAAGAAACCAATAAAATATTTCATGAAAACAAAACAGTGTTGTTCTCACAGATGAATAATTCTAGATATATAATAGATACATAAAAATTATAGATTAAATTATGGATTAAAACTGGGGCAGAAAAGACTGTTGGGAGCAGAAAAGTGTTTTTTTGAATACCAAGAGCTGCCAAGATAGATTCCACCAGGTGTTAGTCTAAATCACCAAAGTAGGTTAAGTTCCTTAGGCAAAAGGGTTGCAAACAGCATAAAAAATGATGATGAAATCCATGTATAGAGGACCATGCAAATACTTCCATCTTGACTTAAAGGCTGAGAGGTCAGCTGCAGTATACTCGGTGGGTACCTTGTCAGGTGTAACTGGACCATAGCTGTTCAGGAAGATACTGATTTTTTGTTTCTTACATAAACTCCATGAGATGAGAAGCCCTAGTGGGGCAGAAGTATGGTCCTAGATGAGAGTTCCCATAATGGAACGCCACGGACAGCAAGTCCTACAAACATTTTTCCAGAACTGTAATAGCCAATGGCATTCGCAGGGCAGCCCCAAGCTCCTATGTGACTCCAGAATTAGGCAGTTGTCATAAGAATGCAGAGGGAAAGCACTCTTCTGCAGAAGTGTTCTACCTTAACTTCCTCACTCCTGCCTCTGTCTGAGAGGCTTCCATGACCTTTTGTCTTGGGTCCTACCTCTGACTTTTATTTTAGTAAGCTTGACTTTGATCATTTCAAAGCCATGGATATTGGGTAAAGACTAGGTCTACCCCTTCTTCGGAGTCTTTCTGGAGAACAGTGCAACCCAAGCAAACTGAACTGCAGAAGGAGTTTTCACATGACCATATGGGTTGCTTCCAAAAGACAAGAAATAGGTTGAGTTCACAGCTTTTACATTAGATATCAATGAATAAAGTTGATTTATTCTGAATAAGTATCTTGTCCTTCACTGTTTTCCTCTCTAGCTATTCCGTACTTCACCCTAAGATCCACAAATTGTGAGAGACAGGTATCTAATAGGACTGAACTAGAATAGAAGTCCAAACTTCCACAGGCAACTTGTACATACCTTCTTTCATGTCTGGGCTACTTATGGACTACAAAGAGCTGACAATTTAATTCTTGCTGATGCTTAAACAACTGTAGCCAAGGATTCAGCAAGTTGTCCTGAGTTTCTCTTGAGCAAGGACAAAATCAAAATGGTACATCTGCATGACAGGAATGGATACACAGGAGAACTGAGGTTGCATATACGTGAGCCAATAAATAGGCTGAATAATCATTTGTTGCCTAATATAGTTGTCACCCACATGGGCAATCATCTTCAGAGGACCTGCTACTGGACTCATTTTTTCCCCCAGGCCAAATCTCTGTAGTACCCTGAATCAAGTCACAAGAGAGGAGAGAGTAAGTAAAGCAAGCCCAAATGAGCTCAGGTCAGGTCTTAAATACTATGGAGAAGATAGAAGAATAGGGAGTATTTAGGGAAAGGATGTTGCTCTTTTCTATAAAGAAGCTGGGTGCAGCATGAATGAAAAGCAATCAGTCTTGCAAAACTCTAGAAGAAAGTGTTTTAGACAAAAAGTAGAAAGGCCCAGGAAAGAACAAACTTAGTGGGTCCGGGGAACGGAAAGGCCAATGTCCTGAAGCACAGTGACTGAGGGGAAAGTTGCAGGAGATGACACTGAGTGGGGGTCTTGGTGAGCCATTTGGATTTTATTCTAAGGACAATGGGAGGCCTTTGTGGGGTTTTAAATTAGGATGGAAAGGTCCAGTTAATCTTTTTTTTTTTTTTTAATACTTTGGCTGGTAAGAGAATGGATTACTGATTGGAAGGTCTTAGTAGAAGCTGGGAGACATCCTAGGAAGCTAAGTGTGGGCAAGAAGTGAAGAGGCTTTGTCTAGGAGACAGAGTGCAGGTAATGAGAAATAGTACAATTTAGACATTCAGGGGGCAGAGGTTACAGGATTTCCTGGTGCGTTTACATGTAGGGAATGGGAGAGTTGAGCTTTTGGCTTATGCAACTGGGCAGGAAGTGGTGCCATCTTCTGAAGTGTAGAATATGGATAAGAAAAAGTTGTTATGTGTCTGGAGAAGGAGGAGGAGGATGAAATGGATATAACAAGTTGTTATGAGTGTTTGACATGTCCAAGATGCCTATTAAATCTGGTTAGAAATGTCCAGGAGGCAGTTGGATACATACATCTGAAGCCCAGGAAGATGATCAAGGCTAGGGATAAAGATCTAGGACCATCAATTAGTATTTAAGGCAAGGGACCAAGAGATAGAAAGCCAAGGATCATGTCTTGGGTGCGTTCCAACAGTCAGCCGTCCAGCCAAGAAGGAAAAGCGAAGACTGGAGGCTGAGAAGGAGCAGCCTGCACAGCAGGTGGATGCAAGGTCAGTGCAGTTTCCTTAACAAAGGACCAAGGCATCTCTAGGGCAGGGGCTTTAAGTTATCTACTTCACTCATCCAAATCATTTATTTAAATACCCTTTCTGTCACAAAAGGATAAAAACACACATAAATCAGTTTGCATGAGAACTACACTATCCTAACCCATTAAACGTGATCTCTCTACAGTCTTCCTAGTAAGACTTGGGACCTAATGGGAACTACAATATTACAGTTTGGCAGGTTTTCTTGGCTAAATCTTAATGCAATTATTAAGCTATGCAAGAAAGAGTGTTCTAGACAATGGGGGAAAGTCAAACTAATTAAGAAAACTCTGAACTCCAAATAAGATACTTTTTAATTAAACACATGTCCCTAGAGCCAAAAGGGTAAGGCCAAAAGCTTTAGGACAACTGATTATTTAGAAATGCTAACATGGCATGCAGTGTATGATGTAATCTAATTTCAATCTCATTTGTATAAATGGCTAATAAAGCACGCGACAGATGCCACAATCAAGAAAATCCCCTGGAATAGGGGATTATTCTATGGCAATATTCTACAACAGTACAAAGATTTATTCTTCAAGATCCAATGTGACCTACATATTTTTACAGGGAGTAATTGGAGGCTGTGAAAGTGTATTTCAAGAAAGAAAAATACTTCATTATTACTGGGGAGGTGCTCTAGGACAAAGCATCAAAAGAATTTTCCTGTTGAGAACAGTGTTCCTTGGAGTGCCTTTTGAGGGTGAGTAGGTGTGGAACTGGATGGAAAGAAGCTACATTACCAGTTATACAACCTTAAAACCAGTTGTTTAAGAATTGTGATTACAGATCAAGGATTCCCAGCAGTAAAGATTGGTACGCTTCCCTCTTTTCTCTTAGCAAATCATAATCACTTGAAAACTGCAGCACTGAATTACAGATATTTCCTGCCTGCAAGGTTTTCCTTCTGGTTGTAAGACATTCTAATTCTAACAGACAGCTTACAGTCTCTTTCCCACTTAATGTTGGGGACATTAATGGTCAGAGGTGTGAAACCTATTATTTACAAAACTACAGTCTATTTCCCCCTATAATTATATCTTTATTTTCCCAAACCAATTATATTTCCTTTGACCAATATT